CCCCCTCCCCCTCCCCTCCCGGCCCCGTAGGCGCGGGCCCCGCGGCGGCAGAGGCAGAGACAGGCCCCGGCCCTGGGCCCGGGCCCCCGGCGGCGGCTGCTGCAAGCGCGCTGCGCCCCCTCCCCGTCCCCCCTCCCCCTCCCCCATCCCCATCCCCATCCCGGCCCGCCCGCCCGCCCCCACCGCGGCCCCTTCATGGACAGGAACTACCCGAGCGCCGGCTTCGGGGACCCGCTCGGCGCCGGGGCGGGATGGAGCTACGAGAGATCAGCGAAAGCTAGGTAAGGAGTCCGGGGCCGCCTAGGGCCCGGGGCAGGGCACGGCGGGGCCTGGACGGGGCGGGCTGAGCTGGGCAGGGGAGGGGAGGAGTCGGGGCCGGGCCGCGGGGGGGGGGGGGCCCCGGGGCCCGGGGGCCCCCCCCCCACCCCGTCCGAGGCCTGGCTGCTGCCCTTCCCCCTCCCCCGCTCTCCGCCCCCCCCCACTTCGGAGCGCGTTGGAATGCAAGCAAATGCAAAAACATGGGGGCAGAGGCCTACCCCCTGCTTCAGTGAAAGAGGAGGGAGTGCCGACCCCAAAGTCTGCCTGGGCCCCCTCCCTCCCCCCCCCCCCCCCCCCCCCTGTTCGCCCCGCTGTGCGAGGAGCCCCCCCCCAATCCCCAGCGGGTGGTACAGGGCAACCCCGCCCCCCCTTGAGGACCAGGAAGGGGTGAACGCGGAGTGGGCAGGCAGGTCTCTGGACACACCCCGCCCCCCTTCTTCCCTTGAGTAACTTCTCCATGCTCTGAGCTGAAGTGCCTGGACAATGGTGGGGGGGTCAGGCATCCCCCCCCCAACACACCTATGCATTCACACTTTGGCAGGTTGGGCTTTAGGGTTTGCAGGCTCCAGTACCTGGGGCCGTGTTTACTCGTGGTATCCTAGCTGGTATTTACATGTGTGAGGAGCCTTGCTCTGTGTTTACAAGTGCGTCTGCTCTGCCCCTTTGCATACCTCCTCAGTATTCTTGCCTGGCCTGTCTTCCTGTCTGCCTGGTCTAGGCTGTACTTTCAGTGTCTTCTCCCAGCTGCTTTTTCTGTGTTTGGGAATTTGTGATCTGTCTGGGATTTGTCCCGATGAGGAAAGCCTCATGGTGGCCTGTGGGGGCCACATGTTACCATCTCCACATTTTTCTAGGCTGGAGGGCTTTGTGTCTGTCTGCTGGATTCATTGACCCTTATCTGGGGCTTGAGCTCTGTGTGTGGGTTTCACATTCAGTCCCTGGTTCCTTGAGCTGCTGATGGTGTCTCTAAGGGTCTGACTGTGATCACTCTTTGGATGGGGTTGGTCCCTTGGCCCATTCCCACTTCAGGTCTGAGTATTAAAGAGTGGGTGTGTTTGATGATGGTTATAGGGGGTTTTTTTTTTCACCCATGATTGGGGCCAAGTTGTATCTGAGGTAGCTGTGCTGTGTATGAGTGTGTAAGCTTCTCTTGGGAACACGTGTCCCTGGGCAGTTCTAATGCATGTGTTTACTCAGAGCTTGACCTGTCTGGGCCACCTATGTCGTACCCCTTGCATATCACTGCCTTGGGTCTTCTGTGACCCTGGGACCAGTGAGGTGTCTGTAGCTTATACGGAGCCAGCCTAGAAGGGTCTTTTTCTGTAGTCTTATGGGGCCCGAGGTCTGGGCTGGCAGGGGCTCTTGGTGGCCCCGTGATTCCTACCTTTGTGTGACAGTGGGTCCATTCCATTGTGTATCCGGAGGATAGGGACCCCAGGCCCTCCCCTCTGCTGTGGTCCTGCTGTTTACCAACCTAGAAATTTCTCATCCCCAGAGAGAAGGAAAGAAGCCCCAGTAGATACCCTTGGGGATGGAATCAGGCTGGTCTGGTCTCTAATACCTAGGATAACCTTCCTGCCTCTTTCCCCCCTCCCCAGCTTGGTATATGGCGGCTCCAGGACTTCCCACCCGGAGACAGACATCTTACACCGCCAGGCTTATGCAGCCCCTCACCCGCTTCAGGGGTATGCCACCAATCATCACCCTGCAGGTAGGACCACTGGACCCAGATGCTGTGGGATGGGCTCCTTGTGCTGGGCTCCTTGGCTGCCCTTCCCTCCGCACATCCCGGCCTCCACGGCTTGTACTTCCTGGCCTCTTCTCCCAGCCTGCTATATTGGGCTCAGCCTCAGCCTGAGTGAGAGGCAGTCCTGGCTTTGCCACTCCATGTGACCTGGGCCAAATCCTTACCTGTTCTGGGCTCCATTTCCTTCCTTTGTGAAGTGAGCTCCCCACGATCTCTCTGACTGTGCATGTCTCCCTTACTGCCCGTATCTGCACTCCCTGTAGTGCGCTTTCACTGGCTCTTCTCATCAGTCAGTCAGTCTAAGGCTCCCTTCTTCGGCTTTCTTTCTTCCTTATCCAGCCTCCTTCCTGCCTGTCTCCCCGCTCCCCGGCCACGCCCCCTGCTCCCCGGCCACGCCCCCCGCTCCCCGGCCACGCCTCCTGTTGCCCCGGTGCCGGTTCCCCTTCCTTTGGTGGTAGGGACCCTCACTTCGTGGCCCTTCGGGTCCCAGGCTTCGCTCTGAGGGCGGCCCCTCACCCTCCTGCCTGTGCCTCCCCCAGGGCTCTCAGGCTTGTTTGACACGGGCCTCCACCATGCTGGTTCAGCTGGTCCAGATGCCTCAGTCATGAATCTGATCTCTGCCCTGGAGTCCCGGGCCCCCCAGCCAGGCCCGTCTGCTTCCTCTCTCCTGTCTCAGTTCCGAAGTCCATCCTGGCAGACAGGTAGCCTAGCCCAGGGTGGAAGGGGTGGTAGCGTGATGGGGAAGCCCGGGGTCCAGGGTGCGGCGCTTCCTGTCTAACCCTGGGCCCCTCTCCCCAGCCATGCACACGCCCGGCCCCACGGAGCTATTCATCTCGGGGGCCCTGCCCGGCTCGGGGACGTTCCCATCCTCGTCAGCTCTGTCCGCCTATCAGCACCCAGCCTCATTTGGGGGTCGCCCCTTCCCGGTGCCGTCGTCTCTAAGCCTCCAGGACCCGCCCTTCAGCCCACCCGCCAACGGGCTCCTGTCACCACATGATGTCTTGCACCTGAAGCCTTCTCAGGCCCCAACCGTGCCCTCTTCACTGGGCTTTGAGAGGCTGGCGGGGGGTGGCGTCCTGGGGCCTGCCAGCCTGGGGCCTGCTCAGACTCCTCCCTACCGCACAGGGCCTCCTGAGCCTCCCCCCCCTCCCCGCCATCTCCCTGCTCAGTTTAACCTCTTGGCCTCCTCCTCTTCAGAGCAGTCCTCTCCCCAGCTGTACAATTTCTCTGGGGCCGCCCCACCCGGGCCCCCACCTGAACGGGCCTTGCCCAGGCAGGACAGCGTCATCAAGCACTACCAGAGGCCGGCCAGTGCCCAGCCCCCGCCCCCGCCCCCCCCACCCCCAACGGCCCACTCCCTACAGCACTACCTGAGCTGTGGCGGCAGCTACCCGCCCCCAGCCATGGGCCACCGGGCCAGTCTGGCCTGTAGTCCTCTAGGGGGGGAGCCTTCCCCTGGAGCTGGGGAGGCAGCTAAGGGGGGGCAGGGGGCTGGTGCAGGGGGCACAGGGGCCGGGGGCCGGGCAGCCGGCCCAGAAGCTGGGCCGGGGACAGGGGGGCAGGGGGCTGGTGCGGCAGGGGGAGGCTACCGCCCCATCATTCAGTCACCTGGTTACAAGGCAGCCAAGGGGGGTTATG